GATTCATTCCTTTTTGGCTATTTTCTTTCGAAATTGCAAAGACAACTTTTAAAATATTGCTCAACTGTTGCACTACCCACCACTAACCATCGGTTATAAATAAAACTGCAGCGTAAGACGTTGCTCGTATTAATCACTTAGTGTGCAATTGGAGCGTGAACGGCTATGTTTAATTAAATATTTACGAACATTAGCGTTGTTCATTCACCACTTTAACCGCATTCATTAGTGATGTATTCATTCACTGCTTATGCTTTAATGTCTTGCCAATGATTTGTGTAACTGTTTAATTGCATTTACCTAATGGGGCATCGCTCGCGGGCGGTATAATTGGAATAATTAAGTTGTTATGTTATGGTTATAAGTAAACTGCTTTGATTTGGTGACGGAAAAAATGTTGGTATTGCGCCTGCGGAGTAGTTAGACATATGATAAGACGCAGGTTGAAGGCGAATAACCTTCGGCTGACAAAGACAAACTTTCGTTATTTTGGAACCATATAAAAATCTTTCGGCAGCTGCTATGCGGTGGGTAGCCGTTTATACGCAAAGCTCATTCAACAGATTACTTACATATATGACAACTCTTACGTATACAAAAACATTTGACAAACGATGCTCCAGAATTCATCTACTTACAGATATAAATCCGAGAAATAGTCAAACAAAAACGAAAAAGTGCATGCAATTCAAATTGATTTTTGTATCAACAGGGGCATAGTGGAATATTTATATAGGAATTTCATACTTCTCTTCAGGCTTATTTGAGAAATACGATTTCTTCTTTATTTCTTGAAATAAAGCTCTGGATAGCCTTAAAGCGCAGTTAGCACGGGCATAAACACGAAAAACGCGTCAGCTGACACGATCTATCTAATGCGATCTGCGAACTTACCACCACATGACCGTGACGTAGACGTTGCTTCTCTCTCTTTCTATCAACAGCAAACTCGATATGTTGCTACGTAATTCTACGCTACGCTACGTACACGTTCGTGGGTAACCGCGCTCTTAGTTTTAAGCACACAATATTGATTTACTTCTAGTCGATACTTTTAAGTATTGGTCGATACTTGGTACCGATTTAAAAAGTATCCAATACTTTCGATACTCGGTACCGAAATGTTGGAATTCCTAATTAGAGCGCACACCAGCCAAAAATATGAAATAAGTGGCGTTTAGGGGAGCCTCGCCTATAAAATTTCGATTTTAGGGACTAATTATTGTCTTAACTACTTCGCCTAATACCATTTCGAAAAACTTGATTTTAACTTAGGGCTGCCAGACGTACTGGTTTTCCAGGATTTGTCTTGGTTTTAGACAAATTGTTCAGGTGTCATGGTCCACACTCAAATTGTCCAGGTCAATGCAGACACCCAACTCATTTTTGGCGAATTTTCGTTATGAAAAAGTGTTAAGCTTTCCGTTATTAGTAATCGAAAATCGATGACGAAACTTTTTATTTAGCATTTGAACAATATCTGGCGAGTTTACCTACTTCTTTTCAGTTTGTTTGGTTAAAATCTCACTATTAAGCTGTTCTTTTAATTCATAAAAAGTATGCTTCTTTAAGGAATTTATTTAAGGTTCATACCAAATATGTTTTGTTGAAACTTAAAATGCTTATTGAATCCTATTTGAATTGCACAATTATATAAACAAATACATATATACTTAACTTACAAGAAATATATTGATACCATATTCAATCGCATATTCGTTTTTCATTTGGATGATGAGTCCTGGTCGATGGCTTCAGGCTGATGGCAGCCATATTTTAAGTGATTTAATGATGATAACGCGGCCGCTGTGGTGTGGTGGTTAGTGGGGCGCACGAACATTCCGCAGGGCCTTGGTTCAAGTCCAGTTCCCGATCAAGATAAGTATATATAAGTAGAGATTTTATAGCGGTCATCCCTCGGCAGGGAATGGCAACCGCGTCTGTATTTCTGCCACGAAACTAGAAGTAAATAATTTTTTTATTATTTTAAGAAGTAATAAGCGAAATACAATTTTCGTTCAAAAGCAAGAAAACACCTCTATGAAAACTTCTGTTCTTTTCGTCTAAGTCACAAAAGCAACCTTATAAATTTTAGAAATCGATTTTCTCACTGTGTATTAAAGTTCATACATCAAGTGGAGGGCGAAGAAACTCATTGACATTAATATTAAGAAAGAATTGCTTGAAAGCACTTTGTTGCCAACGAAAAAAGTAACAAGTTGATTAAACGAAAAAAATAGAGAGTTGATCAAGATACCAATTTCTTAACGTGAATTTATGTACTTCTTTTTGAACATACCTTCTTAGATTGGATAATAAAAAATACGCTTAAGCCTCAAAAATTAACATAATAGTCATTGTTTAGTTAATTAACGAAGGATCGACATGCAAAATAAATCAAAGCTACTATTGACAGCGAACGCTCGTTCAAACGTCCGTCTTTTCAAGAAAATAAAACAAGTTTTTATATACAAACTAAAAACTTATCAAAATTACGTTATCTCGGAAGACAATTGTTGAGTTCTTAAGTGCAAAAAGGTTAAAAAACAAAAAATATGCAAATTGAAGATACACAATCTATGTACATACATGTGTAGATACTATGTATGTATAGTAACAATCAACTTAATTATAATTTTTATGTGAAAATCCATTGAAACAAATGTCAGCGTTCCTTGGCCAGACGCCAACTGCCGCTCGCTTGCGTATCAAGTGCGTCTGATCGACGTCACGCAGCACGTCATGACGCGTCAGTTCTGAGCACTCGAGGCAAGTATTTATTAAGTAGGTATGCAGTATTTTGTGGAAATGCGTTGAGTGTTTTAATTTCATGGTCAATGCTAGAGCAAGTGTGAGTAATAAAAATGCAAACAAAAATACAATAAAAGCTACGCAATAAAAACCCTCGTGAAATAAAATGTATTTCCGAATTTGAGGTAAATTTTTGGAATACTATTATGGGGGGGCCATAGTTTGTACTGAAAGAAATATCTACTTCATACTTTTCAAAACGAAATTTCTCTAGCCGCAGCATAATCAGTTTTGGTTAGGCTGTAGCCTGTAAGATTCGATTTCGCCGGTATAGTAGATCAAGTTCAACCTAAAGGTCAAAGGTATGTACAATAGAAACTGGTAAGTAAAGGTTTTTCCCCTGTTGTTCACAGAAAAGCGTCTCTTAAGGAACTGAAATAGTCTCATACCTTGACACGGTGAAGGAGTCATCGGGCATCTAGGGTGTACCGAGCTCAGCGGTTTGGTCTTTTTAGTGACCTACACAAGCCTAGCTCTAGGATTAATAGTACGGCAGTTTACTTTGAACGAACTCCTTTTCCAAAAAAGATTTAGCTTCTTGTACGTCCATCTCAGCTTTTTTTTTGGGGGGGCCCGATCAGAAAGTTCCTTCGAATTACTCCTCAACTTCTAAAGCTATATATTCTACCAGGAAAAGGAAATTTTTGTGTCAAATGAATTCAAAATAGACGAGCTACATTCTCCCTCGCTTGACGAAGTACTAACATTCATCTAGGAACCTTTTTTCCAAATATTTTTTAATATTTTTTTCTAGGCCTTAAATGCAATGGGCAACTAGCTGTGCCTTGGAAAATTGATCTTGGAGTCTACAGCCTATCACAAATCCATTCCATATCAACTAATTAATTGGGGAGATCGGTCCCTAGGAACAATTATTTTATAGCACTTTAATAGTTGCTTGCCACCCTCATTACAGCTTAAGGGCCTCTTACAGATTAGAATTTTACTTAACTGTGCCCATATTCTCCAGATCAGTGAGACTATTTAAAAGAACATTTAATAACATTCAATTCAATGCAAAACGATTCGGAATTTATTACCTCTCCATTTTGCACGACCGGTCTTTGCAAAATATTCGTGCGCTTTGCGTACAACGAAAACCTTAAATGACTGGCATTACTGTCACTTAACCGGCTTTCAACAACATTCTTAATTCTAAGCGGATGTGAACAGGTCTGGCTCGAGCCAAAGCTGGCGCGCCGGCAAACCAAGTCAAGCTGGTGTGTGTCAGAAAAATCACTCAACTTAAAACATTGCAAGCGCGTAAACTGAAAATGTTGAACAATGAAGGAAGTTAACTTAAAAATAAACGTTAAAAACGTAAAATTAAATTAAAAGGAAATACATTAAGAAAGATTAATATTTTTTGTATAGGTTTTTTTTTTTTCATCGCAACTTCACATCATTAATATCGAAGTGCAGTCAGTTGTTGTAGGCACTCAGTCGACTAGCCACGCTTAAGTGTGCGCGGCACAGCATAAACGCGTTCGAGGAGTGACCAAATAACAAAAACAAAAAAAATAATAATAATACTAAAGCAAAATAGTGCTATAGACCCTCCTAGCGGTGCATGCGGTGCCACAAGCAACATTTTTCCGCCTCGCATTATTACCGCAACAACAGCTTCAGTCCACTACTTGAATAACTGAGGAGCGCGTGAATTGGTGAATGAGCTGGAGCTGTGCATTCCAGTGAGCGAATAATGAAGTGAATTGTGTGTGCGTGTTAGCAGTTTAAAGCGTCTGACTCGAACATTTACTTACTTACTTACTTACTTACTTATTACTTTACCTGTCCGACAGGTTTTGCGAATTCTGTTTATTTTTCGTTTACTTACATATATGAATATTTTTTTTAAATTTTTTTGTTTGCTGTGATGCTGTTATTTATTATTGTATGTAATCTTAAATGTGATTGGGTGCTGCTCACCACGTTTGCTCTCGTAGTTCCGGTATAAACTTAAGTACATACATACATATGTACATAGATATGTAGTATTCGCTTGCGTAGCTTGTCTGCTAGATCTGTGAGTCTTACTTAAATTGCGGATTTTTTGTTATTTATTTTGTTTTTTGTTGTGCTCATATATGTATATTTTTGTTGCTCTCGTGATTACAGCTTAAATCCGCATATCACTTAAGTACGTCCGCTTGGGCCCGATTTCGTTTTATGGTGAGTCAGTCAGTGGCGTTCGTTTCCGTGGTGCGTTAGCGAAATTTTTACTTCCCCCTTTCTCAAGTGTGGCTCAGGAAAATGTGTTCACTTACGTAGGTACGTGCGTATACATGCATGTATATTTACGCATAATATTTTTGGCAGTTTTTATAGAGCATACATACATTGTTATGTTTCGGCGATTCTTTTCTAGTGGCGAATAATGGTTATCTGATAATGAGGCAGATGTAATTCTGAAAGTGAATAGATTAATGAATAAAATTTAATGAGGTTGTAAACACATGTAAAACTGAGTTCCGTGAATTGAATGTGGGCCTAAAGAATTTATACTTTGCTTTAGGTCAGTTTGCATAGGGAGTGTTTCATACCAAAACGGACGGTGTTCACACTTCATCTGTTTGATTTGTTTCCAATTTATAGGGTTGATGCATAAACATAAATAATAAATAAATATGAAATTTGAGCTTGATTAATACCGATTTAGTAGTTTTCCAAATATTTCGAGAACGGATCGAGGAAAAAATTAAAAAAAAAACGTATACACACATGAAAATTCTCTATGAAAAGAAATATTTTAGACTTTTTTTCTTGAACAATTTTTCACATACAAATTTTTTGATAAAAAAAAATTAATTTTTTATGCCATCTCAAAAAATAAAATAAAAAAATTACAATGGTAGCTCTGATATTTAATTTAATTTATTTAATTTTTGTTATAAATTTTTTTTACACCGAGGTTGAGTAAAATGAGTACATTAAAAACTTAAAAATTTTTAATATTTTTTTAGATTTTTTTTTTGGGTATGCAGTCTTGTGCCTATTACATTTTAAATTTTCAGTAAAGTGAAAGTTTTAGGCTACTGCAAAAATTGCGTTAATTCTAATATTTTTTATGCTGACGGCTTTTTGAACCTTTTTTTCTTATGGAAGAAA